TCCGATCTTGTGTCTACTGTGCAAGCAATCCATCTCCCCAAGCCGTATGGCCAAAGACTACAGAGCCGACGGCAGACACAGCAGCCGGGCGTGCTGAGAGAGAGAGAGAGAGAGAGGGCGGGAGCTGCTCAAGAGGCACCGGTCCGCCGGCCGACGACCCACACGCCCGCGGCACCGACCTGTAGGAGCAGCGCGCAGACGGCAAAGACACGGCCCGCAGCGTCGGCGGACCCCTCGCCCATGAGCTGCAGGCTCAGCACGACGAAGACGTTGAGCGGCACGCGCAGGGCGGCGTAGGCACGGCCGCGGACGGCGTCGGGGACGAGGGCGTTTTTGAGCGTCGCCTGGGCGGGGAAGTAGGCGCCGACGACGGCCTCGAAGGCGCAGAAGAGCCAGAAGGCGGGCTGCGGGCCCGCGGGGCGGGAGGCGAGGGCGTGCAGGAGGAGCGAGGCCGTCGCCAGCAGCAGGGCGAGCAGTGTGGGCGGGGCCAGGTGGGCGGTCAGGCGGGGATAGGCGAGGGACGAGAGCAGGGTCGCCGACATGAAGGAGGCGAAGATGAGGCCGTAGGGGAGGGGTGCTGGAGAGGATGCGGACGAGGCGGCGGCGGATTCCAGGACGGGCGCCCAGAGGACGACGAAGAGGTACATGGAGCCCTCGAAGGCTGTGGAGGCCACGGCCAGGGCGAGCATGCCGGGCGTGGTGAGGGTGTTCCACAGGGACACAGTCGCCGTCGTCTCCTGCTTTTTCGCGTCGGACGTGGAGGGCGTCGCTGTGGCGCCGTAGTTCTCGTCCTGGTTCTGTTTAGCTGCAGTGCCCAGTTTCAGGACCTCAGTCCGGCATGCCGAGTATGGACGCGAAGACGACCTACCCATGCCACGAGCATGCACACGGCTGCCCCGCCGACGAGGAGGGCGCTCGCGCCAAACGGCGCCCTCGACGTCCCGACGAGCCCGACGAGCCACTCGCTCGCGAGGCCGCTGACAATGGCCACGACGCTGTTGACGGTACTCATGAGCCCAAACGTCGTCGAGAGATCGCCGCCCCCCGCCACGCTCTGGGCCCTCTCGCCCCCGCGCCGCCCGTGCCTCTGCCTCGTCACGTCAGCCACCATCCACGTCTCGAAGACGCTGAACAGCAGACTCGTCGCCAGCCCGCCGAGCGCGCGGCCGACGAACAGCAGCGCGACGCGCATCGGTGCGCGGCCGCCAGCCGCCGGGGCGGCGCCGGGGTAGGCCGTCAGCAGGCTCGAGGACGCCGAGGCGAGGCAGAAGACGAGACAGGCGGCGCGGCGGCCGTGGGCGTCGGCGAGGGCGCCGACGAAGGGCGCCGAGAGGGCGCCGGCGAGGAAGCCCGTCGTGAAGAGGGCGGGGATCAGGTGCGGCGGCAGGGCGTGCTCGTCACGGTAGAGGCTGTAGAGGAAGGGGCCCTGGAGCCAGTCGGAGGCCATGACGAGGGCGTAGACGAGGAAGAAGGAGGTCTGGGACGACGGCGGGCTTTCTGTTCTTGTCCTTGATGCGGCATTGTTGCTGCTGTCTGCCTTTGCCTTTGATGTGGTCGTGGTGTTGGCGGCGGGAGGCCTGGCCTTGGTCTTGGCGGAGGGGCGCGTCGCGACGAGTACGCCGCAGGCCAGGAGGAGGGCGGCGAGGTTGAGCTGGTATGTGTCTAGCATGGTTGTTGCGGGATGTGAATGAAAAACGAGGTTGGGGGGGATGAGCGCGTGGCCGTGGTCGTGATCATGGCGAGAGACAAAGTGTCGTCTTGGGGTCGTGGTCGTGGTGCACGGCGAGTTTCACCACGACTCCTGGCGCCACGTCCCCCGGCCGCGTTTGGACCCCTGCACGGACAAGTTGACATGAAGATGCAGTGCAGAGACGCAACGAACAAACTCAATCGGCGTACCTATATAGCGATGCAAACTATAGTCCACGCCGGGGTATCGTCATCATCGCAGGTAAAATAAAAGACAAAAAAAAACGTGTGTGCTCATGTACAAGCAGCGAACAACTGCGCCCCCCGTGCCTCTCCCTCAGTGGCCTTGCTTTCCGTTCTGCGCTTCCATGACACTGCCGTCACTGGCGTCGCCCTCTTTTTCCGCCTTGGCCTTTTCCTTGCTCTCGGCCTTGGCCTTTTTGTACTTTTGCCACTTCTTCTGTGACCAGCGGTGGCAGCGCCACACGAGGAAGACGAGAATGGTGGACGGCAGCGTAAAGGCCCAGAAGATCCAGAACTCTTCCTTGGCCAGGTTGGGCAAGGACTCGATGGAGAAGATGGCGGCGAAGAAGGCGCCGGGGAGGAAGAGCATGGTCATCATGGCGATGGAGCGCATGGCCGAGCTGTCCTTGCGCGCGGCTTCGGCGAGCTCGGCACCGAGGCGGGCGTCCTCGTGGGTCATCATGCTGCGGATCTGGTAGGCGGTCAGCGCGCTGTCCCCTGCTGGAGAAGTAAGAGAGAGAGAGAGAGAGAG